AGGGTTTTCGACTTCCTGATAGCAGCTGGTAAGCTATTCCACAATGTGGCCGAAACTCTCCAAAACACCGGTTTCCATAGGTCACAGTACGAGATTCTAGGACACAAAACAATGATTCTGTCTTCGACCGCAGTGATTGTGACGCCTGATACCGGGGCTTGGTTTGGTTTAATTTTGTTTAACGTCCTATTAACATCTAAGGTCATTTAAGGACGTGCCTCCATGTATGCAATGTATGCGTGCTTGCGTGTGTGTATGCAGGAGACAGGGTATGTTGGAGTGCTTCCCTCCTTCTGAAATTGCGCATCTGATGCCGACTTTATATTGCTATCCCACTGAAATACCATGCCGAAGGCACCGAGCACAGCATCCCGCCCGGTCACATTATACTGACACCGGGTGAACCAGTTGTTGCCGTTCCCCTAATTAATGCAGAACGGTATGCAGGAAATAACAACTACCATTTTGAAGGACTTTAATATGTCCCGGCCTGGGGACAAAACCCATTGCATTCCTCAACTGGGCCGAAATCCTCCAACCGCACCGGTTTCCAAAGGTAACAGTACGAGATTCTGGGACACAACAATGATTCTGTCTTCGACCGCAGTGATTGTGATTACAGGGTGACAAGCTCCTGTGAATACTGGGGAGCTATTCAATTTAGTACTTCGGAACAAATAACAACTCCGGATCCCTTGGTATCGAATGATCATATAATTACCGGCTTAGTGCATACTTCTCACTTTAAACAATTTTCATATATACAAATATAGATATAAATACAGGTAAGTTGGAAAAACATACAATATGGGATGAGTGCTGTTCAATATATGGAATTCCAGATAAGATGGTTAGTTGGTTGTACAGGGTTTAACGCCCTATCAATAACTATAAGGTCATTTAAGGAAGTGGCTACATGTGTATTGTATGAGCCTGCATCTATATCTGTGCGCTGAAGGCATTGGTGTTATAGCGCAGATCTTATGCCGACTTTAAAGTGCTACATGTCCTCAACATGAAATACCATGCTGAAGGCACCCAGTACATCATTTCGCCCGGTCATATTATACTGACAACAACTCACCCGGGAGGTGAGTTTACAAGCCAAATATTTGGTGATTTTTTTTTCACGAAAAGAATGACTAGACTTGTGATGAGTTGATGGGAATATCAGTGCAAAATAACACTTTTTATAAGTTCTGAATCCAAAAACAGATCTGCTCCTGTGTCAAAATTGGATACAAAAAGAGGAGGGAGGCTGGCTCTGATTATCTTCCCAATACCATCTACAATAGTAAACCGATTTTGCAATGGTATCGGGGTGGAGTATAGAAGATTGCAATGGTTAATAACAGAAGTGTCACTTTTGCGGAATTTCTTCGTACTCTAGATGCATGCATGAAATATGAAGCCTGGAAAGATCGGGAAACAAGTAAGTGCAGATTTTATTAACACTGTATTATGAAATCAAATTAATCATTTGTGACATTATAAACGACATGTATTTTGATAGCTTGATGTTTAGTAACTAAGTAGAACTTGTTTTGGTAGGAACCACCAATATTGGATTTAATTTTTACAAATTGTTAAGTATTTGGATTTCGAGAGTTTCAGGAACACAGAAATACTGAGGCGCAGCAGTATATAATTTGTGTTGCAAAGAAGCAAAACACTAACTTACCAAGAGCACATATCAACAACTTTACAGGTAATGTTAAGTAACACCGGATTTTTTTGTACACACCAGTACTGTTTATGTTATTTTCCTTTTGTAAGCTTAAACATGTCCTAAGGCATTGCAGTGTAAATGTTAATGCATATGTATGACTGTATTTTCTCTTACATTGAGGTTTTATCCACGTAAAATTGCGCCAAAGTGTACACGACAGCATGCTGATCCGACTTATGACAAGGATATAGAGGTGCTAACTGAAAAACATAGTTTGCGCTAATCCAACCTTGTTGTTCTCTTTATTGAAGACCTGTTTCATTCCACAGGAACACATAGATTTAGTATTGAGGTTGTTGGTGTGAATATCCTTGGCAACTACATGGTAAATTAAAGGTGCTCATATTGACCCACAAGGTGTCGCATCAATAGTTATTCTGGTATGGTGTCCTGCCGACCAGGAAACTACGGCCAGAAGTGGTCATATAGTGAGGCGGTCAAAACAAACGTCCGTCTGAAATATACACCTCAGAATGTACAAAATGCGCTTCAACCACCTACACCAAAAACAATTAAATCCAACAAGGAAAGAATATTTAAGATACGAAAGGAAAACATCAATCCTATAGGACGAAGACCATCAGTAATGAAACTGATGATGCCATCCTTACAGTTGTACCAAAATCTGTTTAAACCATTATTATCAAAACCGCCAAGCAAGAGTTAAACTTTCCCTGTAAACACTCAATGTTCCCAGTTGTAACAGTTTCTTAGCCCTTAGAGTTTATCTTTGAACTGTATTTGTATATACTGATTATATGTACACGTATAATCGATGATGATGATGATGATGATGATGATGATGATGGTGATGATGATGATGATGTTGATTTGTGTATGCACTGGTCATATGTAAGCGTTTTTCGTTTTGTAAATGCATATCCAGTAAGTTTTAACTTAGGAAAAATAATTACAATGGCATGATACATGTACTCTTAATCTTGTTTATTTTTTAAGAATTGTCATTGTTATTCCATAGAATAACTGCAGCTGTACTATTGATGTTCTATTGATGTCACGCCTCATTCAACCTACAGTCGACGTCATACATAATGTGTCTGGACATTAAATTAGCATGGCATCAATTGCACCGAGACCACTACTTATCCTAAGATGGCCACCATATGTATGGGGCTTGTGCCAAAGGTGGTACCATGCTATCTATTACATAGGACTACCTTTTGTGCGAAGGTGGAAGTTTGCACTTATGTTAAAATGAATGCCCACTATGTAACTTGTGTAGTGTTATCTGTGCGTGCCTACCTGTGTTTCACAATCAAGTTCAAATAGTGTACAACAATAGACTACGTACGGTATGCTTACAGGCACCTGGTAATTTGTTACAGCTATATTTTAACCTAAACTAAGGTGATCAGAGTAATGTTACACGTTTTAGGGATCAAGAACAAGTTCCGCCCAATAGGTAAAATTACTCTTCACACCTTCGTTAAGGTCCAAATAAAAGCTGTAATAAATTTTCAAGTCCCTGTGGATATGCTTACCTATACGTACAGTGCACCTGTGTGGGGTCCATATTATTATCAAGATAATAATAAATTACATATGCTCAAGTCACATCGTAGGAAGGACCGAAACTGATATGCAATTCAAGTTGAGCAGGTATACTTGTCCGTGAGAATACACAGCTCGGTAATTATTTAGTGGTCAACAATACATCTTTTCGTGGTTAACGAGGGGAAAATTCAGCTTGGAGATTAAAAACCATTAATAAATATGATGAACGGATCAAGTTTGCCTTTGATAAACAGGGTGACTTTGTAGTATTGTCAGAGTGGTTTACAGTTTTTCCTAATTGGACTATCGGTAGAATGCCTGAATGTATGATATTTAACTGAATTAGGTCTACTATCAAATAACACTATGCTAGTTGTTACAGATTAAGGCAAAATTACGTGCAAAGCAAAACGCTGTTTTAGGAGTCTCAAAGTCACAAACAAGAATTCATTAAATATATATACATGAAGCATTATCGTCTAGCAATTCTAGTTTTTCAGTCAAAAACTACCATGACTACCATGCTTTGTAAGGTAAACACCTGTCATACTTTTCCCGCATGACGTCTTGTGGTATCAATCATTTATGACGTCAGGATTAAAATAATTGTCGAGTCATGACATTGTGACGTCATATTTAAGGATATGATTCAAAGAAATCTGGATATTTTAGCACGGGTGAGTATTTACTCGAATGAATACATGTTATACCTAGCTGTGATCACAGACAAAAGACTTGCACACCTTGGACTATATGGGCGTTATGTTTCATCAAAAATTGTGTTTGACATGCTGAATTGGGGACTTGCTAGGATGTAATAGTTTTGAAGATGGTACGAAAGCTTAATAACTATCAAAACACAACTGCTTTCCTTGAAGTTCCTTGAATTCTTAGTTTTCAAGTACATGTGTTGAATGT